CAGTTTACCTTGGAACACTTACTTAAGCATAAAACTGCCAGAAGAGCATTTTACGTCCCTACCAGATGATTTAATTTTGAGAGTCATCACTCCTAAATGAAAAAATACCAGTTTAGAAAATAGCTGATAGCTAATTTAGCAGTGATAGTTTCTTCAGAGCCAGAAGATTGTAACTATCCTTTTTTCCTGAATTTACTTTAATCGAGGGGTTCACAATAGACCTACCTCCAGGCGGTGCACCTGGACAACGTATACTCAAACGGCAAAAGAGTCTATTAACCGGCAGTTGACTTCTGACTTCAAACTACCATCACCCCACTGTATGTCATTTTCGACTACTACCACAGTACTCACATCACCTTTTTTTCTACCTTCGTCTTTGAACCACTCTTCTGTCCCCCCCCCCTCTCGACTTTTTTACACTTTGATGTTCCTTCCCCTCTAAGAAGCCTAAAGTCAACTAAAGGGCTAATGATAACTATCCAAACGACTGCCATTTGATATAAATAAATAAATTTAATCGAAAGCTCTAGTAATTAAAGTTGAGAATTACATATAGACATTTGTCACTTGGGCTATGCTCCCAACGTTAATATTAATTATGCCTGCTCAATTTTCTATATAATTTTGTGCGGTAAATCATGCACATCCATAAGTTGCTCTCAGGGTGTACCTGGAGAGGCACGTAATTAAGCTATTCGGAGATGCTTGAGATGTTAATTCCTGGTTCCACAGATCCCGAAAAGGTGTCAGACACTAATGGCAATAAGGTTTAAAAAGGGGTTAGCATCAGTAAAGCAGATAGGCAGCTGTCAATAAAGACGGAATATGTAATTATGTCAAATGGCAGGCGTTATGATATTTATCTTTATACCTTTAGTTGACTTCGGGCTTCACAGAGGGGAGGAATATCAAAGTCAAAAAAATTTTAGAGGAGGAACAAAAGAGTGATTCACAGATGTCAAAGAGACAGACACAAAGGTAATGAAAAAGGTAAGATGAGTACTGTGGAAGTGGTGAAATTTGGCATACAATCGTGGTACGGTAGTTTGAAGTCAGAAGTCAACTCCCAGTTGCTAGAGACTTTATGCCACCTAAGTATACGCTGCCCAGGGTGCACTAAGTGGAGATTAGTCTATTGCGCACCCCATAAAGACGGAATGTGTCATGAGGTCATAAATAGATTTACATATTTTGAATTCTCATACCACTCAATTGCCCAATTCAATCCAATAGATCAAGATCTGAAGGTAAATATAATACTGCTCTAAATTTCGATTTAAGGAGACCGACTTCTTAATGATTTCACGTCAGGTTTTTGCTTTTCTCATTGATTTAACCGAGTGGCTACCAAAGCCACCTCAAAAATGCTTTTACATTTTCTATTAAATAAATTAGATTGAACAAGTATCACCCCGGTGGAACTTATTAGATTTCACCAGAGGCAGAAACTCGTAATGATGAAACGTCGCAATAATAAGCAAATTGGATAGGGAAATTATAAAATTTCTCTCAGAAAGCATTTTGATTAAACTTCAAAACCGTCAAAACTTACGGCATTGGAATTCAAGGGTTAAACATGTTTCCGCGTTTTCTGGTGGTGGGAATGCTTTCCAAAATGAAATAGCACATTCACTTGCACTTCCATGGTATAGGGTGTTTTGTGTCCGCATTGTTTTCACACTGATCAATCCATATATATATATATATATATATGACTGCATTGTCGGATATGTATTGTTACAAATTCGGACGCTATTAAATACGCTACACCTTATCATTGCAATAGTGTGTTTTTAATTCTATAGCAATGATTATCACTTCAATATATTATAACTCATACTGCTTCTGTGGGAATTTTTCTAAATGACCAACTTTGTCGTCATACAATTTCATCTAAAATTTTACAAGGGGTAAGGGATTTTACTTTTCTACTAATCACACAGGACATCATTCATCAGGATGAACATACGGTGAAGGCAAAATCTTCTACATGAAATCTAGGGGTAGACTTAATATACTTCAACGGTCAATCATCCCTATTCCCGGGACTCTTGCGAATGAAGACGTCTAACGATCCACTAGGAAAGGATTAATTTTTCTTTTGAATAACTTCAAAGATAAAGAATTGTGGTGATTGGACAATTTTATCTCAAATACGGCTTATTAGGCGTTGCGAATTGTCATTTGGTGACATTTAATATTTAAAAAACTAATGTATGGTTGAAATTTTATGAAGAGAAGACAATATATTCAAGCTGAAAATAGGTGCCATTCAGTAATCACCTCATGAATTAAAGTTAACGATACTTAGTTCAAAAGAACAATGCATTTAAAATTCTGATCACAAGTGCAAACTTGAAACTAAATTATTTGTTAACGTAAATCAAAATAATATCTTCAGCAGTAGAATTCGAGTTTCTCACTTGAGAGCTCATACTGACGATGACACCGCCTCGGGGCTAATCCAAGATGATATTTCGAAATTACTTTTGCAATAAGCTTAAGGGCTATTATGTCTAATAATAAATGAAGTATTTCATTTCATTATCAAAAGCCATAAGTGGTACAATAGAAGGCGAATATCAATTTAGGTTGTTATATATTATTTTGTTATTGTTCAGAAATGGCAACAATCCTTTATTTCCTTGATTGCATTCGATTCCCTTTAACATTTTTTTAACGTTTCTTTTTAAATGATTTGCAACTATGGCTAATTTGGTGCACTAACTAACAATTATTGCAATTAGCATCGCAAATAACAGCAAGAATTTCCTTAGGGAGAAAAGAGAAGAATCAGGTTGAAAAATAACCTCACATTATTACAATAGTTGTTGGTTATATTTGCAATCCCAGGTAAGGTCCAAAATTTCATGTTTAATGAGCGAATTCACGTTCAAGTTTGCTAAGTCGGATGTTAGACTACCAATACAGACACATCCTACTTCTTTAATATCAAAGATACTCGTATGATGATAAGAATTAACAAGATTTCGTCAGAATAACATTTCTACATTTTAATCAAAGAAAGTCGAAGAAAAATGCTTCATCAATTCTATTTTAATTTCTGAGACACCAAATGAAGAATGCGATTTGCGAATTCGACTGCTGTTTTATCAGTATAACCAAATAATGCGGTTTCGATCAAATTGAACTAGATTTTGAGGCCAGGAATTTTGCATTCACTTGGTTTACGCTACTACTCGCATCTCTCTCCCCCACTCTGGCGAAATTAACCACATTTGATATAGAGAAAGGGAAGAATAAGTGTCTTTGAAGTAAGAGTGTACTTGCACGCAAATAAGGGACAATAAAATTCCACAAATCTTATGAAGCTTTATGACATTTCTGTGTCGTTTTTTGACCCTATTCTGATTCTATTGCCGTGGTTAAAAAAGTATGTACCTTATTCATCTATTACCAAGGAATATATACAAAAACAAAGGAATTTAATATGGGAAATTGAAAAACTCAAACGAAAAGAAACCATTGGGGATCGAACTACATTTTTTTCATATTGTTATTTTAACAAACAAATTATTTTACAGAAACGGTGTCATTTACATAAACGTATGCCTGAAGTGCTAACGTTTTAGTGCAAAAACTCACTTCTAATATATATCTACATACGTGAATGCTTGACTTATTGGTGTTATTATATTGTGTGCTTTATTCAGCTAAAAATGAGTGCAATGCATTTTTAAGCAGAGCTAGTTTAGCGATCACACGATCCCAGTTTCCAGCCAAAAGCCACCATAGTCATACGTCTAATTAAAATGAGAATTTATGCATTAAATAATATTTATATATAGAAATAAATTTACAGTAGATCCAATTGTTAAGGGCAAAAAATTAACAAAAATATTGAGCTCAAAAATCGATCCGTCAGCTTTAACAAACCCTTGAAAAGGAAATTTAAGGCCATGGGACGTTTTCTTAGTATTTGTAAAGAATTCCAAGCTACTCAGCGCAATGAGGAGAAAAAATGCTATTAATGTAACTATCTTTAGAAACAAAATGCCTAAGAACAGAAAGGGTAATCATAGTGTCTCGCTTATCTTCTCTTCAATGAACGAAATAATGGAAGATGCGCTTATTATTTTCTTATTCGTACTCCTGAAACACTTTTTAATTAACGAGACTTATTATTAAGAATCACCTTAACGTAGGCATTTAAGTCTTTTAATTAGCAGACAATAACACCATGATATGCTTGGTTGTTGGGTGATGGAATCAGTGAAACCTATTGGACAAATTGATGGATAGCTGAAAGCCGATGATTGCGAAACTTCATTCGATTTTGGTCTAAATTATAATTCTCCAGTTCATGATGGACATTGGACATGATTAATTGTTTTGATTGACGGTGTGAATTAACATTGCGCAAATTTTTTGTTCATTTATTTATTTTTCTTTCGCATAATTCAAGTGATTTCAAATTATCATCTATTCTTGTTTTCATCATGCATATGAATGACGAAAGGTTTAAACAATAAGCATTTGCACTAACTAAGATTGGTAAGATGAACTTAGAAATAGTTGTTTAAATCCACTCACTTTTATTGATTACGGCTTATTCAAATATTTTAAATAGGATACAACTTTTAATAGAATTCGTGGAAATTTAGAAGTCTGTATAAATTGGCGTAATAATAGTCTAAAAGGTATAAATGCGTGTAAATCATAGAGATAAATTTAAAATGGACAATTACTTTGTTGAGACTTTTGGGGATATTCATGGAAATTTATTATCTTTACCTTTATCCAGACTTCAGTCTCTATCTAGTATGAAAAATTACTTATTTCAGAACTTTTAGCATTTGCTACTTTTATAATATAAGTAGAGCTTCAATCTCAAATTTTTACTGTACGGTTAGCAATTTATTTGCAAATCGCAACAAAACAAGAAGAAATAAGAAGAACCCTTTCAATGATTTTGTTGGCTATTTAGAGTGTTTAAGATTTTAGTATATTCTTCATATGTTTCCGGCATGTTTTTGCTAAAGTAATATGACACTACGAAAAATAAAATACTTTATCCATTCTCCATCATTTAAACGGGGATCAGATAGCTCAGGTCTACAGGAATTCGGCTGACCATTCGTAAACTCATCCCAACCTTTTCGTCCGTATTTAATATTCCACTCGTGTTCACTGACATCTATTAATCAAATTAGTCTTCTATAAATTATATTTCTACCGGCATTTCTTAAAAACCGCATCTTATAGTCAAATACGATGCGGTTTTCAGGATCATAGAACCCATCTCCAACATCATAAAATGTGGGTGGTATTTGCATTGTTGGCCCATCAGTAAGCTTTTCTTCACCTAAGAAATCGATAAAAATAAATAATTGTCCATAAGCAAGAACAAAACTAATCAATCTAACTAAAATTTATTAACCTGGAGCGTTAAGACCATGCTTGATTTCTGTTTCAAATCGACGATCGTAGCCATCGCAATATTGCCAATTATTTTCTGAAAATACTAACCCATCGGGAAATCGGTAAATTCCCTAAAATCACACAAGTAAATTAAGGTACCGAAACAGGATATCCATTTGAAAATGTGCCACTGTATATTCCACCATCTGGAAATATTATTTTACCATTACCATGATACATTCCGTCTTTCATTTCTCCCTCGTACATGTTCCCTGATGGAAGTTTATACCTACCCATACCCTCCATTCTATAAAATTATCGGAGTAAATAATTGCACCTCTTATTTTTATAACAGCCGACATAACTACTTCCTAAAAGATCCATTAAGATCCACTAATATATTTAAATGAACGCGCAAATGGACCTTGATTGCCAAGGCATTACAAGTATTTTTTCATATATTGACAAAATTGGTATCTTAAATAAAATTCACATTTTAAAAAATTTAACAATTATTTAAATTTAGCAATCATTTTTCGCAAACATAATCTTTTATTTTGTTGAATGGCTCCATCATTTATAAAGACTGTGCAAATGTGACAATTATAAGTATATTTTTGCCGGTTGTATTCAATATTGGGCTCATTAGTACACAGCCATAAGTCCAGTGATACTGAAAGTGCTTAGTGCCCACATGTCTGAATTTGTGAAAAACTTATATTTTAAGTTATAAAAATCCAATTACTTTCATAAAGCTTCTCCTTCGAATTAATAATTAAATGGATAAAATGGACAGCAAATATAATATTTTACCATTATGAGATTTGATACTATCGACTTTTAAATGAAAATCAAACTATAAATCCCAAGTCATTAGTCGTTATAGGTTTTTATCGTCTTGTATTAAAAGTGGAAGTTATAACCTATTCGGATAAGCGGTAGAAAATGATTTGTCTTTAAAGAATTTAAGCTTGGGTCCACCAGATGATACATAAATAATGAGAGGTTATTTTGAAACATCCCAGTTTAGCATTGAATAAACTAGTAAATTGCTCAGAAACGCGTCCTCTTAGTTTCATTTCGAACAAATTCCTACTGCTATTTAAATATTTGCTGACCCTCATGTTCAACGTGCTGCGGAACACCTACTGCGTTCTTATTTTTCGTGTAGGAGACCTTAGTTTCCACTAAACATTACCAGAGGCCCAGAACTGCTGTCGCCCCACACGTTTCGTGTCTCCTGTCTACCACGCTTGATTCGCTGGTATTTTACTGAATAAACGTAGTCGAAATTGCATCTACACGGTATATCACTAGAAAGGTTTTTGAAGGCATTTAGTAGCTCTAGACATATCCTTTTTTAATCTTCATTATTTAGATTAGTTTACTGTTTGCCGATAGCAATGAATTGGAAAACGAGCTTATGGTCGGATGCTAATCGAATGACGGTTTGAAGTTGCATTTGTATTAAATGCGACATCTTATGACATGGGCTGACTAATTTTATGACTGTAACAATTTCATGTATCTAACTAACTGCAGTTAATTGACAAATATTTATTGTCATTAATTGGGGGGTGGGGGGGGGGGACGTCATAGCTCCATACTTTCGGAATTCTTAGGACATACTGAAATAGAAGACTGTTTCACAAGATCTCGAGTTGTTTCCTCTCACTTCCTTCCCACAAGACTAACATCAATCCCATTTTGGTTATTTTGCGTGTCGATTTCCAGTTGCTGCGTATTTGCTCAAAACTATTGAAATATTTCTATCGAAATCTCGAATACCATTTTCTACGAAGTTCTAGTCGCAATTGCTAAAGAGTAGCTTTCAACATCGAATGAAAAAATGCATTGCATTCTAGTTCAAAATTTTGAAAATAGAGAAAGTACTAATGTTGTAGCCCGATTGGGTAGGAATACAAGATGGTCTTCAAAATAGGCAAAAGTGATTGGAACATTATTTCTCATTTGCTCCTTTTACATTCAGAATACCTGAGAAATCATAGTGAAGGCAGATATTCGTTCTCGCGATTAAAAGTGGCCTACAATCACATTTCACGAACCGGGTAATGAAGAACTCTGGTCCTTATGGTTACGAAACATTTATCAACTACCTCACCAGAAATTTTATCACAGTTTAAAATGGTTAATTTCAATTTCTTTGTGCTGTTGCGCTTCCTTTATGTGAAATTCAATGTAATTATTGAATTATTTTTTAACTACGCATGATTTAGCTCCACAAGAAAACACAATGCCCACTCAAATGTTTTCGTTTTGGTAGGAGTTTTATTTAAGAAAAAAAATAGATTGGGCCTTTGCAGCTTAATTTGTCAAATGATGATATGCTCGAACTTGAAATTAACGCAACCCCAAACATGTGCTTTGGATGACAAAAAAAGTTGTCGATAATAATAACTATGGGTGAAAAAAGGAATGCGATGATATTTATGGCAATTAGTTTGAGATAGAAAGATTGGTGTGTGTAGGTAACTTGGTCTAATTAGATCCTTGTAGAGCACATCAAGCAGATAAGGTAAGTAATATGAAGGAGCTTAAAAAACTGAAAGATGTATAAGAGAGGCAGAAATAAGAATCAGAAGGCCTAGAAGATTTAGAAATGTTGGCGGTAGACCTCGTAGTCAAATATCTTCACCAGGAGCAATAGCGCTACACACTCCAATTTGATTTGACCTTGCAGTGGAAACCCATGGAGCGATGGTAAAATAGGCGGTTCACATTTTAAGTGTTTTGTAAAACAGAGTAGTCACAAAAATAGGAGATACGTTGCTTGATAGACACCCACACCACGCATTGATAACATTGATGACTCAAGGTAGTTGGGAGGCTATTTTCGAAGGTTGGTTTTAAAAAGCGTTTTATAGGGAAGTTAAAAAAATTTTTGTCCAGGGCAAGAAAGCATCCTCCCGGAATTGATGATGTCTGAAAGATTTGGCATTAGTGCCTTCCCCATAGAGTGATTTGTCTGGTTCTTTGATAGTGTATTAGAAATTTTAGAGGATGCAGAGATCAAACGGATAAAAGTCTTCAATACAGTGCAATTTCTTAACCAATTTCTATTCGCCTTGATGAGTTATGGCAAAGCTCAGCTCGATTCCATTTTAACTCGAGCGTTCTTAACAACGTTGAGACGAAATTTTTAGGTTATTCATATTTCGTCAGTTTTATTTCCTCAAGTTTTCGTTGTTCAATACATAGATTAACGAGCGGGACCCGTGAAATAAATATAATCCAATATTATTTCCGTTGGGTTTGCGGTAGACATACCTCCACGTGGTGCAACCTAGGCATCGTTTACTCGTACGGCAAAGTCTATAAACCAGCAGTTGAATTCTGACTTCTAACTACCGTGACCCCACTGTATGCCATGTTCCACCACTTCCGCAGCACTCATCTTACCTTTTCTCTCCCCCTGTGTCTGTCTGACTGTCTTTTTTACATCTTTAAATCTCTTTTCTGCTTCCTTTCTCAAATTTTTCTCACTTCTATGTTCCTCCCCCCCATTGTGAAGCCCGAAGTCAGCTGAAGGGCAAATGATAACTATCAAAACGCCTGCCATTTGAAATAAATGTTATCACTGTTAGTCAGGCATTCCACCCAAATCTATTCCATACAAAAAATAAGTACACCATAAACTCAATATACTTAAGGTACTACATAAGTTGGTTGAAAAAATGGTTCGCGGTTTTTCAAGAAATGTATGGTAAATTAATTATATCAAAATGAAGAAGTCTAGACTTGTGTGGTGTAATAAAAGCAGCGCCTAATTGGTCTGATCTGCACAATGTGACGGAAGAAAAAATAACACATCAACAAAGGAAATACCAGACATTTACCAGGAGTATTAGTATTAATAGGAGGGTGAATCAAAAGCACATAGACAAGTGTGGCATAACTTTAAGTAGAACAAAGAGTTACATTGTGGGGTGTGCGATAGACTTACCTTCACGTGGTGCACCCTGGGCAACGTATATTCATACGGCAAAAAGTCTATTAGCCGGCAGTTGACTTCAAACTACCATCACCCCACTGTATGTCATATTCGACTACTTCCACTTTACTCGCTTCACCTTTTTTATACCTTTGTGTCTGTCTCTTTATTCCAACCCC